ATGTAATTACTGCGACAGCTTATGCTGACGTAAATTAGGTTGACTTAATTTTATAATGTAGACATGCCCTATAGAACCTTCTATTTTGATTGTAAACTCACTGTAGGCTTGTCTACATGGGGGGGTGGGGTGTTAAACCAGATTAAGTTGAGTTAATCTGGTTTGAAAATGCTTGCGTACACACAACACGATTAATTGTAGCACACTAACTCTGCATTTATCATGAACTCTGGAGGCCTCTTTCAAAGTGAACTTAGTTTGATGCAAATTGAGTTAGTTTGGTTTATTGTTCATGTGCACACAAAGGTGCTGTGCACTACTTTAGCAGTCCTCCAACTGCTATCTGAGACTGCTTTGGCGATGGCTGTTACTGACCTGTCTGTTTACCTGTGTGCACTCCATTGTTCTGGTGACAAGTTGACCAGATGTCCCCTCCCCCATTTAAGAACTAGCCTGGGGACAGAATTTGCCTATTTGGTCCTGGATTTGAGTATCTATGTTGCTGCAGAAGCCCTACAACACTCCTCAAGCAGCTGCTAAGTAGACTAGAACTTTGAAATGCAAAACCTATATTGTTAGAAGTTACAAGTAATACTAATTGTGTATACCTTTAATGCTAGCATGTAAACAGACAGTTCCTGTCTGTCACTATAACTATTAATTCAGAGATCAAAAGGGAATATTAACATGTAGATGAATCTTGGATAAAATAATGTCATTGTCTATATGTCTCTTTGAAGTTTGTGATAGACTGCCTAATGGATAAATTGCTTTATGTTAATTTGTGTAACTAATTACTGGTGGTGTTTAGAAAGCAAAAGGTTACATTAAAAGCCTATTGTTTAACCAGGACTGTGTGGTCAAGTGAATGCTAGGACACTGTATAAAAGACTGTTGGATCCTGATTCTATCATCTCAGATCTGCTTGAGGCTTCATAGAGGGGAAGCTTAAGCATAAGGACTGAGATCCCAGTCCTAAGCTGGAATGCCCTGAAATGATATTGAACATTGGACCGTAACCTATGAACTACATTCTAAAGGAACTCTTTGCAGCTATGAAGCTCACCATCTCTGCAATGAATCTGAACCTAAGAATTAAACTCATGTCTGTATGTATATTGATCTTTTAACCATACTCTAGCTCTTTTTTTTTTTTAATTGAGTTTAGTTGTTAAGAATTGGCTGTATTTGGGTAAGATCTGGAATATTCAGTAACCTGGGAGGCAATGTGTCCGATCCTCTGGGATTGGTAGAACCTTTTCTTTTATATAATGAAATGGGATTTTCAGAAATCATCATATTTGACTTGGGTACCTAGATGGAGGCCTGAGGCTGGATCACTTTAAGGAGACTGTGTTGTTTGGACTTCTGAGTAACCAGTAAGGTAATAAAGAAGCTGTTTTATGCTGGCTTGGTAAATCTAAGTATTGGAATATCCACCAGCTTTTTGGGGATTGTCTGCCCCATTCTTTGCAGTTCACCATAATTGACTGACCACAGCTGGCCCCCACTGGGACCCTGGTCACACCCCCTTAGTCGTCTTTTTCCAAGCTGAACAGTCCCAGTCTTTTCAATCTCTCCTCCTATGGAAGCTGTTCCATACTCCTAATCATTTTAGTTGCTCTTCTTTGTACCTTTTCCAATTCTAGTATAACTTTTTTGAGACGGGTAGACCCAAACTGCATGCATTTTTTTTCAATGTGTGGGCCTACCATAGATTTATACGGTAGCATTGTGAAATTTACTGTTTTATTGTCTATCCCTTTCCTAATGGTTCCTACCACTTTGTTAGCTTTTTGACTGCTGCTACACATTAAGCAGATATTTTCAGAAAACTATCCACGATGACTCCAGGATCTTTTTCTTGAGTGGTAATAACTGATGTAGACCCCATCGTTTTATATGTATAGTTGGGATAATGTTTTCCAACATGCACTTCTCAACGTTGACTATCATCTGCCATTTTGTTGCCCAGTCACCCAGTCTTGTAAGATCCCTTTGTAACTCTTTGCAGTCTGCTTTGGATTTACCTATCTTGAGTAATTTTGTATCATCTGCAAACTTTGCCATTGACTGTTTTTGAAACTCATGCCACAGAGGGCACATGTCCATCTACCTATTTTCATTTTCCCTCCCGACTTGGTGAATGCCCCAACCTGCTATCCAGGAATACAACACATGTGGAAGATACTAGTACGTAGCCAATATTCATAACTTCAGATACAAAGAGGATACATGCAGATAAACAGGATAATCAGACTTAGCAAATCATAACTCTTCCATTGACACCTTACATGACATACCTTGTACAAGATTTGTTGCAATTGTATAACAGTGATAATATCAATGATATAAATGGTCATATTCGATCATACACCATCATAATGAGTCACTGTCTAACCTGATATTAGAACCCAAGACTCCTAATTCCACATGCTCTAACCACTCAATCACATTGTATTTCATATGCAGCCCTTTTTGTGGCATTGGCAACCAAGCAGTATACGAAACTATTCGGCAATGAATATCAGGGAAAACCTTTACTCCTAGGAAACATGGCAGGTAGGGTGACCAGATGTCCCGATATTATAGGGACATTCCCGATTTTTGGGTCTTTTTCTTATATAGGCTCCTATAACCCCCCACCCCCGTCTCGGTTTTTCACATTTGCCATATAGTCACCCTAATGGCAGGGCATGTTTAATGTCTGCACAGGAGGGAGGAACTCTAGACCAGATCCTCAGTTGGCATAAATCAGCATAACTCCACTGAAGTTAAGGACAGTGTATTGACTCTAGGTATCAGGTATCATCGTGATGGATTCCATATAAATACCTGTAATAAATAATAAAGATCCTAAAATGTTTATAACTGTAACAGCATAATCCAGTATTTACTGTGCAGCATCCTCCCTATCAAAGTGCCATAAGGCCTTTTTGTATGCATGGAAACAGATTATGCAGCTGACAGCTGTTCCATTGCTGAGTAAATGCTTCTTCAACAGCAGTTGATGAGCTATATTTAAGGGGAAAATCTTCATCAGACTTAATTTTTTGTCAAAAAAGAATAAGATGTAGCATTAGTTACCTTCCTGTTATCCTGATCTACTAGTTTCTATCTAGCAATACTAAGCTTGGTAGCAACAAGTGGCTCACTCAGTATTTGATGTTTTAGCCTGATGTTGCTCCCCTATAGCTTTCTGTAGGTTACCTGGAAGTGTGGTGCATTTGCATCAGGCCTAAAATACTTTTGCACTTTTTTCTTTACTTTTTTTCTAAAAATTTCTAGCTTCTCCACTCAACTAACATATTGCCATGTACTGACTTCTGCTTCTGTGCACCACTGTCCTCTACTGGATACTCAAATGTTTATTCTGAACTCCATAGTTAAGGAGCATAGATTATGTGGCAACTATAGCAGAGGATAAATAACTGGGAGCAAGAGTGGCCCAAGGAAGAGCATTTTAAAAATCAATATTAATAGACAAAAAATTTAATTAAAGGTTTTTACTTTTAAATCAGTCTTTGTACTGATATGTGCCTCTATAGTATCTAGGGCCTGGTTTACTTAAATAGTTTATTTTTAAACTATTTTTTAGCATCAAATAATGTAAATAAGCATGTCAATATTAAAATTTAATGAAGACCCTAGAAAAGCATATAAAGGAGGCAAAAGGCACATGCCCTGCAATTAACATTAGTGTATAGGAATCACAATTCAGGAAGCTCTAAACCACATGCTTAACTTTAAGAAGGTACTTAAGCAGGGCCAGCTCTAGGATTTTTGCCGCCCAAAGCAAAAACAATTTTGGCCGCCCCCCCCCCCGTTTTTTAATTACCCCACCCCCGGCCCCGCCTCAACTCCGCCCCTTCCCCAAATCCCCAGCCCTGCCTCCTCCCCCTAGGCTCTCAAGCCTGGGAGGGAGGGGGAGCAGCGGCGCACGCGAAACAGCTGTTTGGCGCGCCGCGGCTGCTCGGGATCTCCCCCTCCCTCCCAGGCTTGAGAGCCTGGGAGAGAGGGCGAGTAGCGGCACACGAGCAGCAGGAGCAGTGGAGGTTAGCTAGGGCGGCCGGGGCACATTTTTAGGGGCGGCATTCTGGCGCCGGCCATGCCGCCCCTAAAAATGTGCCGCCCCAAGCACCAGCTTGTTTTGCTGGTGCCTAGAGCCGGCCCTGTACTTAAGTCCCACAGTGGATCAGTTGGTGAATACCACCAAAGGGCTATACCATTGCCTGGAAGTATACCCAATACTTTTGTAGCATGGGAGCGAAGTCATTAGAACGTCTGTGATGCGTTATTTATTAATGTAGGGGAAGCTTATAAATGTGGGTTCATTTACACCACCACTCTCTGCTGATTCGTTTACTGGGTTTTTCCCTCCGTGACAATCTGCTTGTTTCAGTTTATTTGCCTTGGGAAATTATTTCTGCCCCATTCTCTCTCACACCAGGGCAAACTGATGACAGCTGTGGCCAAGCCAAGCCATAAGGTCCTAAGCATTTTCCGTGGAGCTCACTTCCCCCATTTCAGTGCTGCACCACTTAGTAACCGCAGTGATTTATTTGGGAGTGGGAAGCGGATTAGAGGGAAATGTCTCTTTCTCATTCCTAAACAGTTCCCTTCACTCCAAACCTTTCATTACTTCGGAGCAGAGCGCGTTTGCCCTCCCTCCGGTCTGCATTCTCACGTGTGAACGCAGAACCCATCCTGCCCCAAGCCGGTGGGGTTGTTCCCCTCGTCTCAGATTTCCGGATTGGCCCCTACGTTGGGGGGCGCTTGATCTCAGGCCATTCCCTTCTCATCAACCACTCGCTGCCATGGGGGCTCTATGCACGGGTCACTGGGGGAGGGAGGCCTGGGAGCCCCCTATTCCAGCTGGGGGGCGCCCAGCCCCCAGGAGCCCGCTGCCCCTCCCCTCGCAGGACGCCGCGCGCAGCAGGAGGCGGAGGAGGGCGCTGCTGCACGCCTCGCTCTGCGCCTCTCCCGGCTGCGGGGCCGCCATGTCTCCGCTGCGCTGGGGCGCTTGGCTGCTGCTGCTCGCCGGCCCCGCAGCCTCCACCGCCAGCCCGGCAGACGAGAGCGGCGGGGCGCGGGGAGGGGGCCGAGGGGACGGGGAACGCGGGGCCCGGGACGAGCCGCAGCGGCAGCACCACGACTCCTCGTACGGCACCTTCGCCAGCGAGTTCTACGACCTGCGCTACCTCTCCGAGGAGGGTGAGGAGGCCGGGGGGGCGCGGGGTGGGGAGCCTCCTGTTGGGGCAGGAGGAGGAAGCTGCAACGCCCGGCCCGGGGAGATGCTCCGAGGCCCGGGGGGATAGTGAGCTGGGGGATGAAGCACGCAGCGAGGGGAGGGAGAGGAGCTCGATGAACTGGTGTGTGTGTGAAACATGCAGGAATGAAGGGGAGAGTGGAGCTGAAATGCACTGGGCGGGAGGAGGGAGCATGCACCAAGGGGAGCGGGAGAATGGAGCTGGATGCATGGGGTGTGAGGGGGTGAAGCATATACAGGAGGGAGGGGAATAATGGAGCTAAATGCACTGGGACACGGGCGCGGGGATGGAGCATGCACCCGAGGGGAGGGAGAGAAGGAGCTGGATGCACGGGGGAGGATGAAACATGCAGGAATGAGGGGGAGAGTGGAGCTGAAATGCACTGGGACGGTGGGGGGGGGGAGGGAGAATGGAGCTGGATGCCCTGAGACACTGGGAGCGGGGAACATGCACCAAGGGGAGCGGGAGAATGGAGCTGGATGTACGGTGGAGGGTGAAGCATATACAGGAGTGAGGGGAATAATGGAGCTAAATGCACTAGTCTGCGGGGGGATATGTAGAGCATGCATCCGGGGGAGGGAGAGAAGGAGCTGGATGCCCGGGGGAAGATGAAGCGTGCATAGGAATGAGGGGGAGACTGGAGCTGGATGTATTGGGACACTGGGGGTGGGTGGGAATGGAGCACGCACCGACGGGAGCGGGAGAATGGCTCTGGATGCGCGGGGGAGGAGAATGCATTAGGACACTGGGGGGGGGGGGGGGGGGGGGCGGGATGCATGGGGGGGGGGGGCCGCACCAAGGCCGGTGGAGGATCCATGGTGGGGGGATGGGCTGCTCCCTTCTCGGCCCCGCTCCTGGCCGGGTCTCCGCCCCCGTCGTCCCGCTGTCTCTGCGATGCGGTCTGTACCGTGGAGCCGCCTGGCCCCGTGTCGCCGCGTCGTTTCAGCACGTTGGCTAGTAACTCGGCGGCGTTGGTTCCCTGCTGTGGCCGGGCGGGGGCATCCGAGCTGCTGCTGTGGGGTGGCACTTTCTGGGGCACGCTTGGAGCCAGCTCCACGCCCGGCGGCTCCAGTTCTGCAGGGCCCGTGGCTCCGACTGCAGGCTCAGTCCGGGGCGGGTGCCGAAGGGGGAGTGTCGGCGGTGCAAGGGTCGCAGTAGATTGAGGCTCTTGGTAAGGAAGAGAGGGAGAGAGAAATCTGCCCTTCTGTGGGTCGAAGCTGTGTTTTGGCTGTCAGACATATTTTCTATTGACAATCAAATGCTCTTCATCATGGGAAAGAGGACGGGCAAAATGAGCATAGCTCCCCCTCCTCTCTCTGGCTTGGGCATCCCTCCGGCTGCCCTTCCTTTTGGCTGGGGTGCTGAGAGCTCTGCCTCCTGTCTCAGTTTACAATAACCACTATTGGTGTCTCCAGGCTTTGGAGCAAGAACTTGGAATCAGGCACTGCGACAGTGCTGGGGTCACAGGGACGCCTAATGCTGCGCTCTGCTCTTTTGCAGGGAATACAACCTTGTCTCTCCTAGAGCACGCTCAAGTGTTATCCTCTTGGATATACAGCCTTTCAGGCTAAATGTGCCAAGTCTCTATTACCACCACTGGCAGTTTGAAATCAGGGCTCACATGTACACCCAGTGGGCAGGAGACCTGTTGCACTGGATCTCATGGAGAGATTGGAAGACCGAGTTAGGTTTCGCATTTCTCTTAGCAGAATATCTGCTATCTGTAGCCCATTTTATTGATGGTTCTGAGGTGCAGTCTATCTTCTGTCCTCAACCATCTATGCTATGGCAGCCAAGCATTCTCTTTTTACAGGTTACCTTAGTATAAAGATGACCTGTGACAGATGAAGCATATAGGATAGAGACTAATGTTCTTGACAGAAATCATGCAGTCACATTGATTGCAATATTGTTTTTAATGATGCTGATGAATCTTTCTTCATCTGTGAAATCCATTTGTCAGAGCTTTTCCGGGTGTTTGATGGGTTGATCATGCCTTGTTGCCTCCACTCAGATACAAGAGTCAGTTCTTTCTCACCATGAGAAGTTTTCTAGTTGCTGTGCTGACAAGATTGATCTGATTTAGATAAAAAAAAAATTGGCTGCTTTTGTGGTTGCAAAACCATTTCTGGAGGGGATAAATATATCATCTTCTCTGGCAAAGTTCTGGACAGTTTCAGTCACAGAGTTTCTAGCTACAGCCTGTGAGTTGGAGCCTTTACTTTCTTGGTTAGTAAAATTAAGTAAGGAGGTATTACATCCATTATCCGTTGATTCGGCTAGTGACTCCTTGAAGGAGGGCTGATTGCCAGCATCCCTCACATCAACAGTTAGGGTTTTATTTAAGAAGCCATCATCTTACCATAGCAATCTTACCAGTAATTGCCCTGTTCCTAATCTTTTACCTTTGGGGGAAAGATTATTGATAGAAATTGTGGCAAGACAATTTGGAAACCGCAGACACTTCTCATTTCTCTCATCCCATTCTTTCAGTCTGGCGTTAGGCCTGGATTTGGTATGAAAGCTGCACTAGTCACACTGATCTCTTAGCAATGGAAAGTATTCTCACTGATTATTAGATCAGTCAGAAGCCCTCCATTCATTTGTGACAAGATTTTTCGCTGACCTGCTTGCAGACCATAGCTAGCTTAGACAGTGTTGCACTTGAGTAGTTCTTTCTTTCCTCTCTGAGAAATCCCAATAGGTGATTTGGGGCAATTGCCTGGTTTGCCCGGAGGGCTTCCTCTTCCAGGATTCCACAGGTTCCATATAATAGTTGAGATCAGCCAATGAGGTGGAGCTATTAACAGTCCCTAAGATTTAAACCCATGGAGGTTGGGGAAGGACATTCTTTTGAAGGACTATCAGTTTAGGAATTCACTTCCCTTGCTGGTTGGGTAGAATATGATTAGCTGATCTTTGGGCCACAGTGCAAGGCCCATCTTGTTTTCTCAGGCTTTTGCCTGAGCAGGGAGGGGAGTGGCTGTGCTGGTGTATAATTTCATAAGGGGTGAAGAAGTCTCTGATTATTTTTTAACTTTTAAAAAGCCATGTGTTATGTCAAATATATATGTGCCTAGATATGTATTGAGCATATTTTATACATTTTAAAATAAATGGGGCTGAACTTTAAAGCTTCAAACTTAATGTGTGGCTGAACGTCGTATAGCTGCTTGAACACGTAGAGGAAGGGAAGGGGTTAAATAACTAGGTTTTAGGCAGTGAAAAGCTTTTAGTTACATTGCTGCCTGCAGCACTATCGAGTGGTGCAGTAGTGCACAGCTCCAATAGTATTATAGTGATAGTTGTGTTTCTGTTGAGTGGTGCAGCTTAAAACTCCTGAGGAAGTGAAAACGCAGCTGCAAAACTTCTTAGTGCCACAGCTAGTTCTTTCTTTTTCTGTCAGTTGAAGAAAAGAATATCAAATTCAAATAACAACATAAAGGTTGAAAACCTGAACCCAGAAGGATCAGGAAATTCAAAATGTAAGGTTTCAAAAACAATGTTCACTCAGCCTCATTCCACAAAGTGTACTGGTGCCAAGTGGACAAGTGAACATTGGTTTTGGAGCCCTGACTTTTTCATTATCTGGTTGTTTTGTGTTCAGATTTATGTGGTGTATTTTATCTTTAACCTGTCTTTTACCTTTTAATATAAAATTCATTTTAATTCTTAATGCAGAATTAATCAAAAAGGCCCTGTACATATCTGGGTTGGTGAATTGAAACTATATTGGTTTAACAGCGGTATACTTTTAACATTCATATATGGACAGAGACTCAGGAAACCTGGCCTCACTGCGTTGTTCTGCCACAGACTGCCTAAGGTCTCACAGGAAATCACTTATTCTCTCTTAGTGGGATTTTTAAAAGTACCTAAGAGAGTTAGGTGATTAATGCCCATTGAAAGCTCATAGGAGTTAGGTGTCTTCAGATACTTTTGAAAATCCAGTCCTCTGTGACTAGGGTCCCTGGGGCGGGGGGCACACTGAGATTGCTTAAATCAGGGCAAACTGCAAAGAATGGGGCAGACAATCCCCAAAGCTGGTGGATATTCCAATATTTAGATTCTTCAGCTTCTAGAATAACCTTACTGGTTACACGGAAGCCAAAACATAGCAACCCAGCCTTTGGGTTCCCCCCCAGACAGCCAAGTCAAATATGAAAGTTCTACCAATCCTGAAGGATTGGACACATTACCTCCCAAGTTAATGAATATTCCAGATCTTATCCAAATATACGCTTACAGCCAGTTCTTATAAGTACAGTTCTGAGATCAGTTTCATAGTAGAGATGGTGAGCTTTCTAGTTGCAAAGAGTTCTTAGAATTAGTCCATAATTTCAGTCAAGTGTTTCATACCCCGGGTGATCTAGATGCGACTGGAAATCTCAGTCTTATGACTCAAACTTCCCCCAAAATAAAGCTCAAGCAGATCTGAGATGAAAGGATCAGATCCCAAGAATACTTTATACAGTTCTTGGGTAACACAGAGTTCTTGGATGAACAATAGGTTTTTGATGTAACCTTCTGTTTCCCAAACATTACTGGTGATTAAGTACACAGATTAACATAAGGTAATTTATCCATTAAGCAGTTCATCACAGACTTTAAAGAGACACCTAGACAATGACATGATCACACTCACATTTCATCTAAATCAGGGTTCTCAAACTTCCGGCCTGTGGGCCATCTGCGGCCCGAGAACTTCTCCAATGTGGCCCGTGGGGCTCCAGCAATTTTGGGGCCGGGTCTCTCTCTTGGCCCCACCTGCCGCCCCCAGGTGCTCGCCCCCGCGTGTCCCCTGGGCTATTTACAATGGCCCAGGGCCATCACCGGCAGCGCAGCGGAGCTGAGCGGCTTCTGCCTGCTCGCGCCACGTGTCTGCCGGCCCTTCCCTACAGCCCCGTGGCGGGGCGGGGCCTCCGCGTGCTGCCCCCTGCGGCCAATGGGAAGCTGCGGGGGTGGTGCCTGGGGGCAGCAGCACGTGGAGGACCCCCGCCCCGCCTTGGAGCCCCAGGTAAGCACCGCACCCCCCGACCCCCTCACAGAGCCTGCACCCCCTCCACTCCCCACTCCCAGCCTCCAAACTCCCTCCCAGAGCCTGCACCCCCTTCCCACACACCCCCTCAAGCCCTCATACTCCCTCCCAGAGCCTGCGCCCCTTCCCCTTCCCACACACCCCTGCCCCCAAAGTCCCTCCCAGAGCCTGCACCCCTCTCCCCTCCTCCCTCCCAGAGCCTGCACCCCAGACCCCCTTCCCCACCCAAACTCCCTCCCAGAGCCCAACCTCTCACCGCTTCTGCAGTCAAACTCCCTCTTAGAGCCTGCAACCTCCTCCCCCATCCAGACTCCTTCCCAGAGTCTTAGGCAGGTGTGGGGCGGAGTTTGCGGGGGCGCGTTCTGGGCGGCATGAGTGACATTATTGGCCTGCTTGGAGGATTTGAGGACTGGCACTGGCCCTAAGGGAAATTGAGTTTGAGACCCCTGATCTAAATGTTAATAGTCCCTTTTGATCTCTGAATCAGTAGCTATAGTAATAGGAACTGTCTGTTTACATGGTTAACATCTAACAAGATATAAGTAAACACATACAATTATTATTACTTCTAATTCTCTAACAATACTGGTTTACATTTCAAAGTTCTTGCCTATCTAACGTGGAATGGCCTGAATTATCATTTACATATTTTTCTAACATGTCTCTAAAGCAGCGGTGGCCAACCTGAACCTGAAAAGGAGCCAGAATTTACCAATGTACATTGCCAGAGAACCACAGTAATATGTCAGCAGCCCCCCATCAGCTTCCCCACCCTGCTCCCAGCGCCTCCCACCCACCGGCAGCCCCGCCAATCAGTGCCTCCCCGTCCCTCCCTGCACCTCCGGATCAGCTGTTTCGTGGTGTGCAGGAGGCTCCAGGGGGGAGGGAGAGGAGGAGAGTATGGCAGGCTCAGGGGCGGGGGCGGGAAAGGGTGGAGTGGGGGCAGGGCCTGTGGCAGAGTGAGGGGTTGAGCAGTGAGCACCCCCCGGCACATTGGAAAGTTGGCACCTGTAGCTCCAGCCCCGACGTTGGTGCCTATACAAGGAGCCGCATATTAACTTCTGAAGAGCCGCATCTGGCTCCGGAGCCACAGGTTGGCCACCCCTGCTCTAAAGATTGAATCTGGGTCATTTAGCCTGCGAACTGCTTACCCTTTCTGGCCATGTGTCACAGCCTCAGTGCCCCATCTTTAAAATGGAAGTAATGGACTCAGTTCTCTGCTGGATACAAAGCTCAAGTGCAGTGGAGGAGGGACTAGGAAGGAGCAGATTGCAGATCCCTGATTCCTAACTGACTTGTGGAAAGATCTTCTGCCAGCAGAGAATAAGGTGTAGTAGCCTCTGGCTCCACTACACCCCCATCCCTCAAAATGCATTTAGCAAACAAGATAATCCAGCCCAATAATACTTTCTCTTATCTACTCTTTGCATGTTTTGTCTAGTTAGATTGTGAGCTCTTCAGGGCGGGGACTCTCTCTCTCTCTCTCTCTCTCTCTCTCTTACTAAGTTTATGTACAGTACCTAGCACAATGAAGGCCTAATCTTGGTTGGGGCCTCTTAGATACTATTCGAATATAGATAAATAATAACAGTGGCAATATTTGGATGTATTTCTCCGCATTCATTATTTAATGGTGGTTTATTCTGATTATACAGGTTACCCTTTCCCTACTGCTCCTCCTGTGGATCCATTTGCAAAAATTAGAGTGGATGATTGTGGAAAAACCAAGGGATGCTTTAGGTTGGTGTAGAATAAAAATGTAGACATCTTTCAGTTTATAAACATTACTTGACTTCACTAGGGACACTAGTAAATGTCCCACATTCATTTTACTAAATGTTTGTTTTCTGCAGCTATTCACCAGGATCAGGGATTATGTTGTTCAACACTTGATGAGCACTTACGTAAATAGTCCCAATGAGATCAATGGATCGCATCTCTGAATAAGTGCTCACCATAATGAGCTAACATTACCCTGTCTTACCATAAAGGGATAATTATTGTTAACACCGTAATTTATAGTATTATATAGAAAATACAATATAGTATAGAAATGATATGTTCTACCAATATCTGAAAATTTTATTTATGTGACCACCACCATTAACAACAAATCATGCTGTCTTTAAGTTTTTGATGTAGAAACACAGGTAAACTATAACAAAAAAGCTGTTCATATTCTGAAAAAGGTACATGTTCTGTTTTCCTATTTCATTCAGGTATGGTAAACCTGGATGTAATGCCGAGACTTGTGACTATTTTCTCAGTTATCGTAGAATAGGAGCTGATGTAGAGTTCGAGTTGAGTGCTGACACTGATGGCTGGGTGGCAGTAGGATTTTCTTCAGACAAGAAAATGGTAAGACCAACAACATTTAATGTTTCATGTTAACAAGTATACAAGCTTTTATGTATTAGAATAGGCACAGTTTATATTGGATTTGAAAAATATGTGGCAGATATAAAGAAAGATACACTTTTTAATGAGAAATAATATTTAATGCTTGCATAGTGCTTTTCATCTCTAGTTTGCAAGGCACTTTACAAAGGAGGGGTGAGTATTATTTACCCCAGTTTTACAGATTGGGAAGCAGAGCTGTAAAGAGATTAAATGAAAATCAGACAGCAGATCAGGCCTGCTGATGCCTGGTCAAATTCCCTAGCCACTGGACTGTCCCACCTCCCTTCAGAATGAAAGACTACAGTGATCTTTGGCTTTTGCTGTTGAATGCAAGACTGTTAATGACTTTGCACCATTTAATTCTAAAAAAACATTCATGACTAACAAGTTTGTCTTCTAAGTGTTCTGTATCAGTGTTTAATGGAACAAAGTATAAATCAGAAATTAGCGAAGGGTAAAGTTTTCTTGAATAAGTCAATTATTTTCCCACTGTATAAATCTGGACTTAACCATTAAACTCTCAAGGTTTCAGAGTAGCAGCCGTGTTAGTCTGTATCCGCAAAAAGAACAGGAGTACTTGTGGCACCTTAGAGATTTGTTAGTCTCTAAGGTGCCACAAGTACTCCTGTTCTTTTTGCAAACTCTCAAGGGGATGCCCACTGCCTCTTTCCTCCACCAACACCCCACATTTTCAGAAAAGCCAGGTGAATTTAGAGAGAAAATTATTATTGCTAATTTAAATATATATGCTATATAAAGCAAGCCTATTTCAATTTGTTCTTTTGCTTTTTAAAAAAATTTTTAAACAGGGTTGCCTCATATTTATACTTGTTCCTGTGATTTTTATATTTCAGAGCATTGTTTTTATTGGGGTTTTATGAGGAAAGCAAGAATTGAGGAATATAATTCTATTATACAAATAGCAATTCTCATTAACATATTTAAGCTTAGAACACAGTTTATAATGCTATCTATAATTGATTGCATGTTGAAACATACCCCCCCATCTGCAACTGAAAATAGTGTTTATGTAATACATCCCAAGTCAGAGGGCAAGTGTAATTATTAAGTTGCACGTGGACTCTATACACTGGAAAATGAGAGAGTGTTTAATGGTCCTTAATCAGAGCCCACTGAAGCAATAGAAAGACTCTCACTGATATCAGCCACTGACTTTGGATCAGGCCCAAAATGTGGAGCACAAAGAAAATGTGAGGGGAGATGCATTACCATCCTACCCATGTATATGGTATTATGTTGGAAATAAAAGATATTAATCAGTCTGCCTCCAGTATGCATCTTGGAGTCTTAAGAAATAGTTGTAGGGACACATTTTTAAAGGTATTTAAGAGCCTCAAGATCCAGATAGGCACTTAGTGGGATTTTCAAAAGTACATAGGCACTTAACTCTCCCAGGCACCTGTCTGCACCTTTAAAAATCTGCCCCATGTCTATATCAGGTTAACAGTGGTAACATGCAGCCTTATCATATATCCAGTAGATGGCACCCCCGCACAATCGTAATTTTAAAGTGAATGCTTTGGTTTTCAAACCTGCTATGTATGAGATGCTGTACCTCACTTAATCAGGCTACAATGCCATTTGTCATTTCAGTCTTTATTGCTTATTGTATCTGTTAATTTCATCTATTTTTCCCAGTAATTTCCCAGCCAAACGAGTGTCCTAGAATATGTAGGGTTTGTTGTAAATGACTTTGAGCTTTGTGGCAACAGGGCTGCAGCACTCATTCCTCATCAACAAAATTCTGCCTTAGTGGAATCAAGTCCCTGTTTCTGGCCTGAGCAGCCAGACACAGTTCAGGGAAGAAAATAATCTTGATTCTTTGATGGATTATTTCTTCATTGCCCTGTGCAGCTTTTAGTATTCTTTGTCTTGAATAGCATAATGCTCGTTCCATTTTTGTGCTCTCTCTTGTTAAGATTTTGTACCCCTTTTCTATTAACTTAGGTTCAGATTTTATTATTTTTATTTGTTGACTCAGAACCATATTCTGATACACTTGCTCATGCTGAATAGTACATTACTCCACTATTTGTCCAGTTGAAGTGGATGGGACCACTTGTGGAATGTGTTGCCACCCTTTGTGAGCAAAGGTGTCAGAGTCTGGCCCTTATTTATTCAGTGCCAACAATGTGCTTGTCGCTGTAGTATGCTCAGAAATAAGGACAATCCATGTCTTGAAGCATTTACAGTCTAAAAGACATAGAAGTTGGACCCACCGAGAACTCCAGAGGTAAGGGTAATTAGTAGGGCTTTGTTTGTTTGTTTCACCTATAACTATTATGAATTAACTTTTTGTGGGCATAATGCAAGAAGTCAGTATTTAGGACGGATTTCAATGAGGAGAAAGTGGTTGTTCATGGTGAACCGAGGTTGAGAGATCATTCCATACAAAGGGGGCACTGTAGAAAAAATGCACAGAGATGAGTGGAGAAGAAGGAACGGAATAAGGCATCATGTTTGGCATCACTGGCGGAGTTATGGGGTGGGGGAACCTGATAGGAAAAAAACCCCAAGATGTGGGGCAGGGTGGAGTTCTGCAGAACGTTACCAACAAAGATCTAGGAAGTTTAAATTCAGTGTGGCATGTAAAGGAGAACCAGTAGAAAGATTCCAGATGAGGATGATATGGCAAGAACAACTAGGCAAGGAAAATAATTAAAAATCCATGTTTTTTTTAAATTGATTGAGTTGATGTGTTAGGGAGCTACACTGCAATTTTGACTACAGAATAGTTCAAAACAACATTTTAACTTGGTTTTGTGTCTGGTTTTTTAATGTGGAAGGTGCTATTTTTTTAAAAAACCTCTCCTTGTCCTTAGAGGTGTGAAGAATTTTTGCTCAAACTTATAAAAAAAAAATCAAACCTTGAAAGTTTTTGAAAACTGTGACTGAAAACAGGAGGTTAGAATGGAAGCCCTTATATAACCTCAACTGTAGCAGTCACCACCTCTCCCACAATAATACTGAGCACCTGGAGCTTTTCAAGTTCATGTCTAACCTAGTTCTTCCATTTTTCAGTAGTTTTATAAGAATCTACACAGCAGTGGCAGCTAAATTAATGTGCCACCCCTTACTTTGTCCATATCCATTTTGTTCCCCAAAAGCAGTTTGTGCTACCAGGATTAGGTGAGCAAAGACAGTTATGAATCTTTTGCAACATGCATAAAAGAACAGACTTACTTAAGGATAAAGTCAGCAGACATTATTGCCTCCTTCATTATGACACATTGATGACATTAGTACTATGGCTGTGGGGTATATTATTGTTAGCCAGTACTAACATCTACAGCACTGGCAGTAACCCAATCTTTACTTGCCAACAACCTACAAAACTTTAAGATTTATTCCTGATACTAATGCTTCTGGAGGGCTATACTTTTGGAAGTAATATTGTGCCCTGAAAGGTTAAGTGTCTTTTCTGCATCAACAGTGTTTTTGTATAATTGTTTTAGGACTACAGTACTTCTGTGAATAGCCTGCACAGGTAATTGTCATAACACTTTTTTTTTTTTTCATTCACTTGTTTGTTTCTTAGATTGTGTTTCTTTGTCACTGCCTACAATATGTGCAGAAGCAAATTTACCATTTAACTGAATTCCTACTTTGCACTTAGGTGATACATAATAAGGGAAGGAATTACGAAAAACACTATTGAATTAAAGTGGATTCTTTGCAGTTATGCAATTATCCCTTCAGATATTTTAGATTTGTTTCCTGCTGTTGATTAGATTACATAACATTTAATGTAATGAACTTTACACCCTAAAAGTTCTGTTCTTCCTCTGTTTTTGTTGTGGTACAATATCTGGGAAGTTTGCCTATTATGAACAATAAAAAAATGTTACTTTTTCTTTCTTGTTACTTAAATTATGTCAGGGAGTTGCCATCCTACTAGGATTTAGTATACGTCTTGGGGAAGTCAAAAAGTGGCTTGCATACCCATAAACAGATAGAAAAAGTAAATATTACCATTGACTTTTTGCTGCACAATCTGCAGGAGGAAGTATCCAGGGATTTGTACAAGGAAAGGGGGAACTAGAGCCTTTATTATGGTCCGCTTTCATAGTGAAAATTAAGTAATGCGAATACTTTTATGGATATGAAAAAAAGTATTGCATGTTGTTGGTTTTCTTTCTAAAAGTAAAAGAACTCTGACTCGTTTCTTTCTTACCGTTTAGGGCGGAGATGATGTCATGGCTTGTGTTCATGATGATAATGGAAGGGTCCGAATACAGCACTTTTATAATGTTGGTCAGTGGGCTAAAGAGATCCAGCGAAATCCAGCTAGAGATGAAGAAGGGATTTTTGAAAACAACCGTGTGACTTGTCGATTTAAACGTCCTGTGTATGTTCCCAGAGATGAAACTATTGTAGATCTTCACTTGAGCTGGTACTATTTGTTTGCTTGGGGTCCAGCAATTCAGGGTAAGTTGATGGTATGTGGCCACAACTGCGTTCTTCAATCTATTCCATCATTGTAAAAGGAATTAAAATAGTTTGCAAAAGATGTTCCGATTTCTGTTTACAATAGCAGTGTGTGTATATATGTAAATTAAGGGGGCAGTGTCAAGTTAAGTCATATACAAATTCCTTACCTACTTTTTTTGATTATCTCTACTCCCAAAAGCTAAAATTGATTGTAGATGCTTCAAAATGACCAGTTCGTGATTCTTCTGAAGGATATTGTTCATAGTTCGTTGTTCAGGTTTTGTATGATTTATTCAGAGTTTTACCTTCTGGCACTATGTTAACTGTTGATGTAATGTTGTGTTTTTGTGAAGATTTCCTATTTGGCTAGAAACACCATTTTAAACTTAAATCCTTCTTTTGGTATAGTAACTAGCAATAAGAGGAGGTGAGGTTATCTAGCGGAAAAGAAAGAGAAATCAGAAGTGGTTTAATTCACATGCTATGCTCATCTCTTTTTCTATCCTTTGTCTATTAAAGGTTCTATAACTCGGCATGACATAGACTCACCGCCTGTATCAGAGCGTGTTGTCAGTATTTACAAGTATGAAGACATTTTTATGCCATCAGCTGCCTATCAAACCTTTTCTTCTCCATTCTGTTTGCTTCTTATTGTTGCACTGACCTTTTATTTATTGATGGGAACCCCATGATCACAGCTGGATATGTATGGAAGATTGTGAGAATTTGTTAATGAGAGTTCTTCAGGATGGATGCATTTTCTGTTGGAATTCATATCACGTTGTCTAGCTGCTTTATTGACAATTTCATCTTCTCAGCAAGGAAATAACCTCTCCTTTGAGCAGTAAAGGTGTGCCAAATAATTAAGAATAATCAAGGAGCAAGTAACAAACCATTTCCAGTGTAACTACTAGTTGTTTAATGAAAAATACTTTTGTAAAATGTGTGTGTGTATGTTGGGGGGAATTTAGTAATGGACATCTAGAATCAAATTATTTAATACACAATTTCCTTCCATTCAAAAAATAAAAGTTGGGGAAATATTGTCTGTTAAATATTTGTGGTGCAGATAGCACACCTGTTTCTGAACTCAAAGTCAGGGTAATGTCACGGCACTGCTGTTTAATAAGGACTGCTTTGTGATAATGGGCTTTCACCTCCCAAAATACTTTGAATTTGACAAAAGCAACTCACAGGCCTAAATGGTTCTGGTGCTTTCCAAAACCAGAAAATGCTTCACATTCCCAGTACAAACAAAATTAAACTTTCCATTACAGAATTCTAATAATTGTCTGTACTATAAAAATAATTCTTAGACACAGCCATACTTAAGAAGTTTTTTATTAATGAGAGATGATGGCATATAAACAAGGAAAAAGAAAAAGAATGCTGGTATAAATATAAACAAGGAAAAAGAAAATTAATGCTGGTATAAATTCTTCATGATACAGAAAAATTTCTAAAAATATATAGAATATAGAAGCCTCTGTAAGCCATAAGACATCTTCCAATAGGCATAGTATGTTTGTTTTTTATGAAAAAATGTTACTTAGATGTAAATGTCTTTTAAACAGCTCTTTTGCAGTAACCCTAAGGTGTCTGTTCTCACCTTGCTATGTGCCCTAAATCCCATTCATGTTAAACATGAGAAGGAGCAGCAGCTCATTGTTCCCAGAGCAATGCAAACATGATCTATGGTACTAATATGGGAATAAATAAAAAGAGCCTTAATTTCAGTTCCATCAGAACCATAGGTAAAATCATATTTATCCAATGAGGAAAAGACAATTCAAGCATGACAATAGATTTGAATTTTTTATCCTTAAAAGAAGTATTACAAAAATGGAAAGAAAATAGTTAAGCATTTTTGGAAATGGGAGTTGCAGAAATGTATCAAATGATAAATAGATCACAACTTATTCTAAAATGTTTTGGGTTATTGCTGTACATTTTCACTGTCTACATGATAGGGAATTTAAGATTAGGGAAGGGAAGCAGCTGTCTCTTTAAATACCTGATCGTGCAGATAACACGTGCACAAATCTTCCATCCACTCAAGTGGGAGTTCTGCATGCTTAAGGGGTTGCAGGTTCAGTCCCTAATTTATACTATGGTATTAGGCTGTTTTACCAAGAGTACACCGGGCTTGGTGTGTTTGAGAACTCTTTAGCTTTGTGTTCTTGTAGAGCAGGGGTTCTCAAACCGGGGGTCTCAAGGTTATTACATGGGGTGTCGCGAGCTGTCAACCTCCACTCCAAACCCTGCTTTGCCTCCAGCATTTATGATGGTGTTAAATATATAAAAAGTGTTTTTAATTTATAAGGGGGGGTCGCACTCAGAGGTTTGCTATGTGAAAGGGGTCACCAGTAAAAAAGTTTGAGAGCCACTGTTGTAGAGTGTCTTAGAGATGATGTTTCCATCTTAGTTACTGCATGGTGAGGCAATAAGAAAAAAAATAATTGGAGTTTTGTAATTTGTGCATCATTACTCAGTGTAAAATTTAAAGGTTGATTTTTTTTAAGGCTTTGCATTCCTCAAAACTATGTGCTTAAAGTATGTAAATGTTTGGTTTAAATGATTATTTGCCTCCCTAGCAAGTTTTTTTTCCATATTTAAAATTGCAACATTTGTTTCAAAAAGGAGTATTAATTAGAAAAGCAGTTTAAAGTGTAAAGTGCTTCATAAATAGTGACTTTATCTTAGTGCATTTCAGTAAGTGATCCCTCTATACCTGATTAACCAACTAATTAAATACGTGATAAAGTATAGTTGTAGTGGGTCAGATCCTTGTCCCTGATAAGGTCTGCTTTGTGGAACTCTGGGAGCAAATCATAGCCTTAATGTGTCCTAAGCAGGCAGCTCAGATTCCTCTGGTATAGCAGAATCCTATGATGGCATAGATCTGGGTAGCTGGCTCTATGCCATAGTCTCTAACACCAGAGAGAAGAACGTGGTCAAAGCTTGCTGTGTGTCCCATGTGCTGCTTAAATTACAGCAAGGAGCCTGTTCAGCTCCCAGCCCAGGGCCAGTTTTACTACCAGCATAAGTTAAAGTAGTCTCAGGCCTGCTCTAATTTAGAGGCACTTGCAGTAACCCCCAAGGAGCTGTTCCAGCAGCTATAGATTACTGGAGCATAACACAAACCTACCTTTGGCTCTCCTGCCTCCTCTTGACTCCTGGCTGGCCCTCAAAATTGAGGTCAGTATATACAAAGACAGTAAAAATAACACTAAAGTACAAAGAGAGATTAATCAGCCTTACAAAAGTAAACCGATTCAGAGCTGCGGCTAAACCTTAGCACTTATTGTAGTCCTTTGTGTCATGCTAGTGGAGAATATACACTATTTCAGATTACAGAGCTTTCAGGGCTGGTGGCTGAGACTATGCCGTACATTAATGCAAAAGTTTGCCTTCACTTTCAGATTCTGTTTTTGTGAGTTAAAGGTTCACCCTTTACCTGACATTAATGTATTTTTTTTTCTGTTGTACTTTCCTTTTGTCCAGATATTAGTAGCAGTTTGCACTTTTATAGCACCTTCCATCCAAGGATCTCAAAGTGATTAGCTGACCCTATTTAGCCTTCCTTAATAATAGAGAAAAATACAGCAAGTGTACAAAAAAAAAAAAAAAAAGTGAGAGAGAGAGAAACGATACTATTTTTTAGCTTTTCAATTGATATTTGAGTTTGTATTTATTAGATCCTTGGAAATGAGACATCAGAAGCAACCCAGTTTCAGAATTTTCACCAAGGAAGGTAAAGTTGCTTGGGCTGCTACTATTTGGAGAGGACAGGAAGACGGTGAAACTGCAGTAACTCTATAATTTGGTTTGGAAGGATTAAATTTTTGTCAGTAAATGTAAATAAACATTGATTTCAACACACACCCAAACCAACAAAAAATATTTCCATTGATAAGTGAAATTTACAGATAGGCAAAATTCAGCTTGAGTTTCAGCTTATTAGAGTTTGATTTAAGGATATGTACTTTGCATATTTTGAAGTGGTGATGTTGACAATTTGTGTTAGTGGTTATAAAGTTTAACATTTTGAATTTCCAATTCTGCTGCTATTAAATAATTGTCTGCTCCCCATAATTTCCCAAAACTGTGAAAATTTAAATCAAATAAAAATGGGAAAAAAATGCTTTAACTCTATAATTTTGCACGACTGTGAAAATTGAAATAGACAGAAATTGAAAAAAATACTTCAAAATAAACATCGATATTATCGGTCAGTTATCAAAAATTGAATTCTGCCAAGCCTAACTATAACAGAAGGAAGGGTCTGGACCAGGGGTAGGCAACCTATGGCCTGGCACGTGAGCTGATTTACAGTGGCACACTCACTGCCCAGGTCCTGGCCACCGTTCCGGGGCGCTCTGCATTTTAATTTAATTTTAAATGAAGCTTCTTAAACGTTTTAAAAACCTTATTTACTTTACATACAACAATAGTTTTAGTTCTATATTATAGACTTATAGAAACAGACCTTCTAAAAATGTTAAAATGTATTACTGTCACGCGAAACCTGAAATTAGAGTGAACAAATGAAGTCTCGGCACACCACTTCTGAAAGGTTGCCGACCCCTGTTCTAGACTAATTACACAGTGTACATACAACCATTTCAATAATATTAGGACTCCCACAATGGATCTCTGTGAAAAAAATTGATAGTGCATTTCTGTAATTTTACAGTGCTATTTGCAACGCCCTTCTAGAGAAGGAAAAAGCACGTTTCCTTCTGATACAGTTGCAGGCGCAACAAGGTTTGTTCTATTTTGGGAAATTACCTGGAGGTGACAAGAGAGGATATGAGAGAGAGAGAGATAAAATAATGAGTGGTATAAAGATAGTCAGGCAGGAACTCCTGTTTACCCCATTTCATAGTGGCAAAACAAGGGAGTATCCAATGATGTTAAAAGACAACATAACTTTTAAAAAAGTAGAGCTTTATTATAATCTTTTAGCCTCTGTCCTGAATATGGAGAGGCGTACCTGCACCATCACTGGAAGAGATCTGAGGAGATGAAAGAGCTCTGAAAGGGACACAACTTACATTCTGCCTTGCACTCGCCAACTCTGCTGTCTGGTAAATTGCTTGGAAAGAAGGAAATGGGGAGAGGAGGCACATTTGGCTCGCCCCACTTCCCCGCACTCTCTCCACTCACTTGCCTACAATGACTGGGAGCAGTATAAGCAGCACAGGGCTGAGGTCCAGCAAGGACTTCAAACCATGATCTGGGTAGCCTTAACGTGACCATGCAGAGAGATACATGGTCCTTGTTACCCACCCATTCCATCCCCAGCTCCTTCACAGTCATGTTAGGGCTTCTGACAACCTTGCCTTTAGCCAACATAAAAGGAAGCCGTGGAATGCACTGCAACAAGATATCAACAAAGACCACAGCGGGTTTCAAAAAAAGACTAGACATTTATATGAATAATACAGATATCATCCACAGTTATGCAAAAGAGGGTGAAAATATCTAAGGGATACAAAAACCTTCATTCTTCAATACACAAGGCAACCACTAAACACCTAGGATTTCCTAATGCAGGGGTCGGCAACCTTTCAGAAGTGGTGTGCCGAGTCTTCATTTATTCACTCTAATTTAAGGTTTCGCGTGCCAGTAATACATTTTAACATTTTTAGGAGGTCTCTTTCTAGAAGTCTATAATATATAACTAAACTATTGTTGTATGTAAAGTAAATAAGGTTTTTAAAATGTTTAAGAAGCTTCATTTAAAATTAAATTAAAATCCAGAGCCCCCCTGACCGGTGGCCAGGACCCGGGCAGTGTGAGTGCCACTGAAAATCAGCTCGCGTGCCGCCTTCGGCACACGTGCCATAGGTTGCCTATCCCGGTCTAGAACCTGGAACAGCTGGTGTAAATAAAGTTAACTAAATAAAACCTAAATATTATAAAGTATACATTCTGCATGGATACACTCAACAACATCCATTTACACCCTAATCTTATAATGTATAGACAAGCAGTCTACTCACATGCTACACGTTGCGGAATGCAAGCAGCAGTAAGTATTTTTAGAATA